GATATGCTCGATTTGTTCTACTATTTGACAGTTCAATTGGATCCTGATATTTTATCTGCTAGACTATAAATACAGCGCCTATAGGAAAATGGTGAATTATTGGATCAGCTCCCGTACTTGCTTTTTCGCTTTTTGCTGTACAGATTTTTACAGAAAAGTAAGTATGGGGACAGACCTTATGACAGTTAATTGACCACTTTGTCAAGCAGTTTTGGCGTGACTTTCTACCAGCGATTTCACAAAACTGGACCAACTAATTTCTATTTTTTTATGAAACGCACAAATGTTGGCTACTTTTCTCGAGGTTCTATAAGAAAAAATCTCAAAATAATGTTTCATTTCAAAGTTCGAGTGGTAGTAAACGTCATTTTATCTGCTCGAATAAAGTGGTTAATAAAATACACTTCAAAATAAAAGAACTCATGTGTTGTTTCATCGCAGCCCCAATAAAATATAATATATTATTTTATGACTTTGTAAAACTGAAAATAATAGAACAACCAATCCTTCCAATTCAGTAAAACACACACATAATACGAATCATTGTCATTCAACGATAGTTGCGTCCTACCTGTTCCCGGCGATCAATTTTCGCTTAGAAACTCAAATCACATGTCTTGTATAAATCGAAAACATTTCCTGAAACCGAACGATTCTATTCAACCGCATCGCGAGAGGGAAAGATTATGATCTCACGCAAATTTTAGCCGCCACAGATAGGTATGGGAAGAGTGGTAGAAACTCAAATCAAACCAACGCCCACACGGCCCAGCACTATCCGAATGGTGGCTCTTTTGTTATATCTCTGGATCTTTTTGAGGTTAGAGAGCAACAACTTCACCATTGTACCGGATCGTATATTTATATTTACCAACACACGAACGAGAGAAAAGGGTGAATGAATGTTTCGGTTTGCCAAGTGGCACCCCATCGGATTCGGCATGGCACGCTGCGTGTTGTTGGTTAGGTAAAAAGGTACACATTTCGATTCGCTGCTTTGGTTTGCCACCAGACAGCAGGTTCGTTAGTTTCAAATAACAGCGGGAGTTGTTTAAATTACGTAAGCCATTTGTTTCCTCTTGTGCATCTAAATTCGGATCTTTTTTTGATTTGTTCATAATTTGCATAACAACCTTTTTTATCCGGCGATGGTTTTCTAGATCAGTACCGAGAATTTCCGAACTCATGCAAAGTTCATAACCTCGAGTTTTCGACAGACTCGAACCAACCCACCAATTAGCCGACTTTCTCGTAAAGTTCGCAATTTCACATGGGGCACGAGGGGTCATGGGATTTCGCCACTCTTCCACTGCAAGCTGAAATTAAAAGTAGCAATCTCCTGAGGTCGTTCTAGACCTTTTGCGAGAGAGAGAACCCTTTTTCTGCTCTACCAAAGCAAGCGGCGCACGGCCGATGAATGCTACTCAGAGACTGAGTAAGATTGTATGGCATTTTTGACGTAGGATTACGTCTTAAGGCAACATATCATACGCATCGATCGCGTTACGAAAAGTGGTCAGGTTTTGAACACTTATAACTCTGTCAATAGCGGATGGATTTCAATTCTAAACAAGCCAATCGATTGGAAATTTTTCTACAGATCTGCGTTACTAAACACTTTATCAATTTTCAAAAAGTCACTATTGAAAATTACACAAATGTCCAACTGTTGCAATTGTGATTATCACCGATTGTAATCCTACGTCAAATCTACGGCCGTGTCATGGATATAACCTCTTTTACTCACGCCAATTGAACTCAGTTTCGAAAAGAAATCAGTTACTCAGAGCTCTTAGTACCTCCACTCCTTACGAAACTGAGTTAAATTTTGATGAGAAAACAATAGATAGCAATACAATTTTACTCAGTCTCTGAGTTAATTTCATCGGCCGTGCGAAAGGCGGAGGAAAACCGAAACCCCAAAGTGAGGTTATGCAACCTTTGGACGTTTGTTTTTGCTGCGCTCTGCGTTGCATTTCCAGCCGAGCCAATCATCGCGCTCTGGCTCCGTCCGACTCCGAGTGCAGCATGGGTTTCCTTCTTCTACTTCTTTGGATCGCCCGCCGGGCCCGGGCAGCTGTGAAACTTCCTCGAACCGGTTTCCTCGTGAGTTGGCAGCGGCAAAGGGATTGTGGCCTAGTTTTTTTCGTTCCTTTTCTGCCTTTGGAGAAATATGTTGATACGTTCGGTTCGGGCGAATGACCTTTTTTTGCTGAAATGATAATTGGTTTAAAAATTGGCGTATGGCTGCAGAATCCATCTCCTGTTCGATGGATGTAACCTACAAACAAAATCAAACGGTTGGTCCACATTTTCACTTTCATCAGCCGGCTAGCCTCTCTCGGAAATCGGTGTAAGCCGACAAGAAAAATACCAATAATCAAAACAAAACTCAAAAATTTACGACTATCGGGAGGTCCAAAAAAAGCGAGGAAGCATAACTCTGCCTTTGCTTGGAATGGGGCATCGTCTGCCTTTGCTTGGAATGGGGCAAAATTACGCAACCGATGATGCCTCCTATTGGGAGCAACGCAAAGCAAATGTAAAACAAACGTCGATCGAACATCCGAAAAGAAAATCGTGAACGTAAACGAAACTGAAAGTCGGTAATTTTTTCCGTCTGCTCGCACAAAGCTGTCAAAATTATATCCCGCATATGCTCCGTATAGTGCGCACATAGGGTATACGTCCCTAACCTCGGTCTAATATGCAGCCATAGATTACGTTTTTAATCATAACTCATCAATTAATTTACCTGCAAACGATATTCTACTGCTAAATGGTATGCTTAGATATGCTTATCATGTCGTTTGCTATCAGGAACCGCAAAAAGTTGAAAAACTTACTTTTTTTAAGACAAAAACTCACCAGGGAAATGTATGTAATATCGGTCTATTGTCCCCAAATTGGGTCTATTTATGGATGCAACTTCGTCCTATCCTGTTTGATTCTCAAAAAAAACGCTCTTGGTAACGTTTTCTTATGTATTTTTTTTTATCACTATCACTGTTAACTTAATACTCTTCATTCCTCAAAACATTTCTTAGAGAAAATTTTACGAAAACTACATTAAATCACTCAAGTTAAAAATTAAAAATTAAAAATTTCGCTTATCGTCTTTCGACCGCAGAATATCTAAATCAAAACATTGTGATGTTCATTATACAGATTTGGCAGAAAAAATCTCCCTTCCTGTTCGTTCCTTATCATCCAAATGCAAACCACATTGTTGACGTTACTCTTATTGCTATATGCTGTCAAATGAATTTCATGGGCCAAAGTTAGGAACATAGAAAAGAAATGTGTCCCTAAAGTTGGGTCCATGATTTACTTGTGAAAACGTTGTTAAACAATTAAAATAAACATAAAATATTCAAACAGTAACTGTGAGTTTTACGTCTAGTGTGTATTATCAGGTAATTCCATTCAATAAATGCCATAATCAGGCCATTTGATGATCGTCAGTGCAACCTTCCCATCTTAACCTTAGAAGTCATGGCGGCTAAAAACTCCGAACAGAGTGATATTCTCAACCAGTTTTATTACTTACGAGAGCTGAAAATGTATTGAAATGTTGTGATATAAATTGATTTGTGTGTGGTACACATTTATCAATCATCAGTGATCAATATTTTCCTTATTTTTTGTGTAATATTCCTTAATTAATTATTTATTTGCGTGATAGGCCGAATGAAAGGACTAGACCCACATTACATACCGTAACCCTATACAACACATTTTTCGGAGGCTCTCATACCATCGAATAAAGGAGCCCAATTATTGTGGGCTCTTCGCACACCATTCATTATAGTGCTGATATGCTTTTTTTCTTTCAGAGCTTCCAAGCACTAAAGCAAGCGGCGGGCGTCAATTACATAATTTAGATAACAACCGCGTGATGCAGAATCCAACTGCCAACTGTCGGAAACGGATTGGGTAATTTACCCTAATCGCAGCAACCCTCGCAAATTGAATTCGCAGAAATCGGATGCCTGAAAGATTCGTTTTTTTTTTTGCCTTTTATTTCCTGTTGGGAACTGCCATTTATTAATGCACTTTTTTTCCACTCCGATGCGGATTATGCCACAACAACAGCGGAAGTGTCATTTTTTTCTACTTACAAAATGTCAAACTGTGCCACGCTCGCGGTTTGAGGTCTTGGTTGGTAGCTTTTCTCAGATCAAGAAAGATGCCAATACCGAAGCGTTTGACCCCTAACCTCCAAACGAAGTGCACGCGTTCCGCCTTAATGGGCACGTGTTTCCTCAGTTCAGCAGACTGGAGTTTGAAGCGCCATCAACACATTGTCAGCGTCGCTGCATGAAGTTAATACAATGGGGCCATAAAACTACAATAGAGGCGTTTGTTTACCAGTCAGTGAAAGTGACGTTGCGTGAATGGGGTGATTGGATTGATTGTTTTGTGCTGGCATAACCTAAAAAAAAAGTGAAATTAGATCGTTGTTTTGTCCCATGCAAATTATGATACCTACTGAAAAAGATTTGCACGATATGTTAACCCGATGGGGAAGACAGTGGGAAATTCAGAGCAATCCAGAGTAGCTCTGAGGAACTCTTTTGCTCTCGGATGAACAATTTTATTATCTCAATTGTTTTGACAGCGCAGCCCAAGCAATCAAATGTTTCGGTGTTATTGGCGAATTAAAACAAAGCTAAAACTGGCCATGCGACACCTAGTTTTAAGATAAGCAATTCAAAAATGATGATGTACATAAACAAAATGTCATGCAATTTGACAGTTATCAAAACGTCATTACCATTTTCACCCACTCGCCATCTGTGAGTCAATCGTCACTTTGATTCTTCAATGGAAGTTCACCTATCACCTCTTAAAAACATCAACGATCAGCCTGTGACGGACTGAAATCTAAAAACAAACAAATCCAAGCATCGCTGCCATTCACCAGCACCACTCACTCATAATCACTAGAATTCTCACACTTTGTTTCCCTCCTATTTTCTCTACCTTTTCCCCGGCAGTATGTGGACCTCCAGCGATTCCGGCCAACGCACGAGTGCAGACACAACCGGCGGACGGCGGTGGTCCTGGTTTCCGGTCGGCCAAGTACGAGTGCGACTCCGGCTATGAACTGTTCGGCCAGGAAACGGTCAAGTGCGACCCGGTCAAGGGCTGGGACAAGGAGCTGCCATTTTGCGGTAAGTACCTACGATATTTCTTTTCTCACACTTTTTCCTCACCGCGCGTGAATTTTCCACGCTTGAACGACTCTATTGAATTGGCAATCAATGAGCGCGGGGGAAAGAAGGAGAGTAGATTACCTACCTATAGCTTGTCGCCAGTAGAGCATCATCGCCGGAGCTGTTATTTCCTCTGTCATCCGAAGTAATTCCATCGATCCATGTTTCGCGTCCGAGACGAGACCACGACCATCATCGGCTTGACAGGCAGGGAAAGAAACCGTGGCGGCTATGGGAAATGAGATATAGGTGTAGGTAAGGTAGTAAGGGATCACGACAGTGGATGGAGCCAACGGCAATTATGGCGAGTTGGCGGGTGTTGATTGGGAACAAACTGTCCCGAGATTGATGAAGTGTTTCGGTCTTCGATTTTCAATTGGTGTCCCGGGCTTTTGAAAAGAGAGAAAAATTGCGATCAATAGGTACCTCGGGCCTAGCCAGGGTTGGGAAAGGGAAGGGGCAATTTGGTTTCACTTTTCCTTACCTATTCATCGTCGGTTTGAAATTGATAGGGGAAGTGTTTCTCAGGTTCGTCGTTACCGATGCATTTATGTCTTCTGTGTGTTTCTACAACATACAGTCATGAATCCTTATGGGGTGTTTACACTTGTGCTATTACACTAGCGCCAGAGTTGATAATAGAAGAGTTACGCAGACTGAAACCAAAATCTACCTATCGAACTGTCAAACCGTCTACCTATCGAGCATAGTAGACAAACTGACTCAGTTGCGTGGAAAGTATTGTTATCGAAACTAGAGGAAACTTTCACAACCCAAGTGAAGTCATCCGAGGTGTAAACAAAAATAAAGGTTGCCAAAATAAAACAATGTCCATTGATCGACATCAGTGTTGTAAGCTTCACTCTGCGTAACTCTTCTATTATCAACTCTGACTAGCGCTAATGAGCCAGCTGCTAGCAAAAAAGCTCAACAGCATAATGTATACGAGCAACTGAAATTGGTGCTAGTTCGCTAGTACACTAGCGCTAGCAAATTCACACAGATGTAAACACCCCATTATTGTTGGATACTTATTGCCGGGCTATCCGCGAATAAGGATACCCACAGCTTATGGGATTTTCACTAATATGGGCTGAGTTAATCACAGTTGTTTAAATATATAAAGCTATACTGTCTTCGACAAAGTTGTTACACTGGGGTAAACCAGCAAGCCTGTGCCATTCGATTCAGGTTTAAAAAGGAACTACGCCGTTAGAGGCGCTTCCTTTTCATATTACTTCTGACGGACGCTGTATTACATGGAATTTGGATCTAACATAGAATATCTCTTGATCCTGACCATGTAGAAAGTTTAGAACTATCACACTACGCAGCGCCAGTGTGCACATGAACTTCCTGTATAACCTGTATGATATCCTGGTCATATAGAAGGATGCTGGGCAATGTGAGTATTTCTGCTATTTTTGGTATCCAAGACGGCCATCCAGGATGATGCGGAGCGTGACAATATGGTCCACACAAGATCTTCCGGCACGGAATCCTGCCTGCTGCCGTCGGAGAGTCACGTCGATCTTCTCCTGTATCCGATTCAGGATAACTTTGCACAGAACTTTGAAAACAATACACAGTAACATGATGCCTCGCCAATTGTCGCACACAGTCAGATCCCCCTTCTTTGGGACCTTCACTAAGATGCCCTGCATCCAGTCGGCCGGAAATGTCGTGGTGTCCCAGATATTACAGAATAGTTGATGCAACATTTGTGCGGATAGCATGGGGTCAGCTTTGAGCATCTCTGCTGATATGCCTTGTTGGATTTCATGCTTCGGATAGCTGCTTCAATCTCCTGCAGTGATGGGGCCTCGGAATTGACGCGAGTGATGCACCGCACCCTAGGCGAATCATGCCGAGATGTTGATGGCTGGTTGGCCGTCGAAACTTGAAGAAGTTGTTCGAAATGCTCAAACCAGCGTTTCAGCTGGTCAGTGGGGTCGGTAAGCAATTGTCCAGTCGTGTCCTTCACTGGCATCCTCGGGTTCATCCTTGCTCCACTCAGGCGTCGTGAGATATCGTAGAGGAGGCATATATCGCCAGCGTTTGCGGCTTTCTCCCCTTCGTCGGCCAGGGAGTTCACCCGCGCTCGCTTGTCCCGTCTGCAAGAGCGCTTGACTTCCTTCTCTAGAGCCGAGTACCATTGACGGGCTTCGTTCTTGGCTCCTCTGGTTCTCGCCCGCTCTATCGCGGCTTTTGCTTCTCTACGCTCCTCAATATTTCGCCAGGTTTCATCTGTGATCCACTCTTTCCTCTGGGTGCGCAGTTCACTCAAGTTGTTCTCGCTTGTTTCTATAAAGGCATTCTTGATGACCGTCCATTGTTCTTCTACGCTGCCACCTTCTGGAACGTTCGCAGCTCGAGTCTCAAGTTCTTCAACAAAAGACCTTTTACCGCTTGATCTTAAAGTCGACGTGTGTTGAACCGCCACCCGAGTCTCTCCTCCCGTCGCTGGATCCGCGCCATGCGTAGGCGGATTTCACCGATTAGAAGGTGATGGTCAGACGCGATGTCGGCGCTGCGTTTATTCCGGACATCAAGAAGGCTCCGTCTCCATTTTCGGCTGATGCAGATGTGGTCGATCTGATTTTCGGTATGTCCATCACGGGAAACCCACGTGACTTTGTGCACTTGCCGATGGGGGAAGAGCGAGCCCCCGATCACCATGTCGTTATTGCCACAAAATTCTGCAAACAGCTCACCATTCTCGCTCATTTCGCCGAGACCATGGCATCCCATGACAAGCTCATAGTCCGTGTTGTCGGAGCCGATCTTCGCATTGAAGTCGCCAGTGTAGATCTTGATGTCACCCTTTGGAACCTTATCCACGACGGCATTCAGTTGACTGTAAAAATTCTCCTTGTCCTGTAGCTCGGCAGCATCGGTTGGCGCATAACATTGAATTATGGTAAGGTTACGAACCCGTGTTCTAAATCTGGCAACGATTATCCTCTCATTAACAGGCTCCCATTTGATGAGCGCAGCACTTGCCTGGACGCTAAGTAGGAGACCAACTCCACGATGGCGGGGAGCGTTATCACCTCGAATACCAGAGTATAGTAGTACCTGTCCCGACGGCAGTTTGTGCTCTCCAAAGTTTGGCCAACGAACTTCACTCAGTCCCAGGATTTCTAGCTTCATGCGTCGCGCCTCGTTGGCGAATTGTGCTGGGCTAACGTCAATACATTCCATGATCCAATTCGTGTCCTTTGTTTTGCGCTAAAAGTCGTTGCCGTTATATCAGTTCGATGTCTTTCTCTGTTGGTTTCTATAACAATTGTAAAGGTTTCAGAGCTGAAGCGTTTGAGCCAGGGTTTGAGCATGAGCGCATTTGGCGGTATTTGGTGTTCAATTAACCGAATCTTTAGAACTAATTTCAAGAGAATACTATACAGATCATATCCATGAATAACTTAGTTCGTTGAAATAGCAGTATGTTAATATCAGTAGAAAATATTGCTTATAAAGGGTGATACGGTCAAAATTTGGTCAATATCAACTTGACGTATTTCTTTCAATTTTGCATTTAAAAAACCTGAACACCCCTCATTTTGAAGGTGTGTGTGTAGAATGTTGCTCCTATTTTGATTTTAGAATTCACTCTTCAGTTGTCAAAATGCCGTCCAAGCAAGAAGAGCAGCGTATCAAAATTTTGCTCGCGCATCGCGAAAATCCGAGCTACTCGCACGCAAAGTTGGCAAAATCGCTAAAAGTTGCCAAATCAACCGTTACAAATGTAATTAAAGTGTTTGGGGAACGTTTGTCGACAGCCAGGAAGTCTGGATCGGGGGGAAATCGAAAACCGGAAGCCGCTGAGACGACAAAGAGAGTTGCCGGTAGTTTCAAGCGAAACCCTAACCTCTCTCTCCGAGATGCCGCAAATAAGCTGGGTGTATCGTCTACAACCGTGCATCGAGCCAAAAAACGAGCCGGACTATCGACTTACAAGAAGGTAGTGACTCCAAATCGCGATGATAAACAAAATACGACGGCCAAAGCGCGATCCCGGAGGCTGTACACGACGATGCTGACGAAGTTTGACTGCGTGGTAATGGACGACGAAACCTACGTCAAAGCCGACTACAAGCAGCTTCCGGGACAGGAGTTTTATACGGCAAAAGGAAGGGGAAAGGTAGCAGATGTTTTCAAGCACATGAAACTGTCAAAGTTCGCAAAGAAATATCTGGTTTGGCAAGCCATCTGTACCTGTGGCTTGAAAAGCAGCATTTTCATAGCTTCCGGGACTGTCAACCAAGAAATTTACGTGAAAGAGTGTTTGAATAAACGTCTGCTGCCTTTCCTGAAGAAACACGGTTGTTCCGTACTGTTTTGGCCGGATTTGGCATCTTGCCATTACGGTAAAAAGGCCATGGAGTGGTACGCCGCCAACAACGTGCAGGTGGTTCCCAAGGACAAGAACCCTCCCAACACGCCAGAGCTCCGCCCAATTGAGAAATACTGGGCTATTGTCAAGCGGAACCTAAAGAAGACCAAAAAACTGCTAAGGGCGAGCAGCAGTTCAAGGCAAACTGGCTTTCTGCGGCGAAGAAGGTGGACAAGGTGGCTGTACAAAATCTGATGGCAGAGGTCAAGCGTAAGGCCCGGCAATTCGGATTTGGAAAAGCGGAAGCCTAACTGAATATTTTTCCTGAATTTTATACTAATTGAACTTGAAAAAGAAATTTAATTTGATTTTTTAAATAAACGATTTCACCGATTTACACGCGTTTTCCCTTGACCAAATTTTGACCGTATCACCCTTTACATTATCAAGCACTCTTTGATATTTATTATCATCACTTTGGATAATTTTAATTGATTATTAACGACTTAGTTGGAACTTTGTAAAATTGTTGTATTTTTGTGAACATGCCTTTATGCAAAACAATTGTTTGCCTTACAGCTTTGCTGAATACAACATTTACATTAATCATTTAAAAAGATTA